AGAAAGAAAGAAAGAAAGAAAGAAAGAAAGAAAGAAAGATGATGTATGCTATTGCTAGCGCTGAAGTATTAAAGTTGCTATAGAAGAAGAAGAAGCTGCCGTTGATGTAGACGCAAGTCGTCGAGACGAAATTTGTTAGAATCTGTATTCATGGCAATTCCAATCAGACTAAAATTAGATTTAACCTTTAACCCATATTATATTATTATATATATCAATTAGGTTTGACAATTAAACTTATAATATATTTTATTTATGTTGGGAATGTATATATTAACAAAATGCGCCATTGTTCTGACTTTCTCGGCTAACTCTATAGGTTAGTCTATTAACACTTATGATTTCTTTTTAGAGCTCAGACCCGGTGCCTATAATTAGTGTTGTTAATTTTATCCAGAACAATATTACTCAAGACTGAAGATTTTGTTCTAGATGAAGCAAAAAGATCCATTGGCGAAATCTAGGGGATTGTGCAATATTTTTCTGGCCAATATATTGATTTAACCGTTTTTAAAGATCGACCAAAAAGTCGGTTTAAAGACACTACTCATAATTATAATAAATATACACAGATAAAGTAACTAGTTATAACTAATACATTATAACATCGTATATAATACTTAATATATTATTATACGTAATATTAATATTTAAAAAAAAATTTAATATAACAGATTGTAAACAATATGGTGGGTTATTACATCGATGTAAGTTACAAATTGAAGTATGCCACTCCTAAATGATGATTCATTCATTATTAACCTTCCTGTATCTTTTTTTTGACAATTATTAAATTCAAATTTGATTTATCATTTATCATTTATTATAAACAAATATAATATTTTAATATAGTTTATTTAATATCAATTTCATCAAGGGGGGGGTTAAACCTAAATTTTTTTTTAATACATCATTACATATTTTAGTTTATTTATTAAATATAAAAAAAAAAATTATCATAATAACATTTATATGGGTTTATTAATATAATTTATTTTAATTTAAATTAATAAAAAATAAATAATATATCATTTATTATAAACAAATATAATATTTTAATATAGTTTTTTTAATATTAATTTGATCAAGGGGGTTTTAACCTAAATTTTTTTTAAATACATCATTACATATTTTATTTTATTATTTTTTAATATATATATATAATTATTATAATAAACATTTATATGGGTTTATATATATATATTAATATAATTTATTTTGATTTTAATTTAATAAAAAAAAATAATAATATATTATTTGTAATAAACTTTTACGCTTATCTTGTAACTTTTCCAGTAGCGAAAAATATCGCATATAAAGGCTACATAAAATGTATTACTGGATTAAAAAGGAAGAGATTTGAAATTTAAAAAGATTTTAGTTATATTTATATAAAAATCGTAAGTAATAATTTTAAAAATATACATAAATCAAATGTATAACTGGGTAAAAAATTTTTTTATTATAAATCATAAGACGTAGCTAAGATTTTGCTAAGAGGGGTAGTAGGGCAACTATTAGGTTAGGACTATAAATTTTATCGGAGTTCTTCTTACATTTTTGTAGGCTCTTTCGTTATATTAGATTTTTCTAGATATAGTCGTTATTTTTAAAAATACTAATTACTTTCTTTGAAATTTTTGTTTACAGTAATCTATTTGTATACAATAAACGGGGGGGGGGGGGGTGTTATTGACTTAAATTATATTTACGACAACAGGCAAATTTTTGATGGGTGATCTCCCCCCCCCTTGCCCCGGCCACGCCAGAGTTAGGAATATGTATGAGATCTCGGCAATAAGGCTAGATCAATGATTGATTCTGCGGAAGTCTTCACTGGGTAACTCACGATTCGACCTCTTCAATTTGGGTGGCTTCTCATTTATATACCATACGTTAGCATAATATATCCTAATTTATAGTAACAATATACTATGATAATTGAGCAATGCTTAAATTGATTTGGCCATAGGATGGCGTAGCTCTAATAAGTCAACATTAAGCATATGTTGGATGCTGTAAAATGCAGGCCTGAATCTAAATTTTTGAAAAAATGATGATATGTAGAATAATGCAGGGTAAGAAGATTCAAACAAAAATGTGATAACATAATTTACGGCTTTCTTCTTTATTCATCTCCATTAAATATAAAATAAATAAATTATAAAGTAAAAATATAATATTAAATTAACATTCATAAAAAAGACAGTAAAAAAAAAAACTATGAAAAATTAAAGTTTACAATAAAAAAAAATTAAAAAAGAATTAAAATACAATTTTACAAAAAACAATGAAAAGTGTATTATATTAATGTAATCTCAAATATATATTTTTTTTTCCTTTACATCTTTGGAATATTCTCATTTACACAGTCTAGAAGGAATTAAGAAATATTGTAATAATTCTTCCAATTATTTCGAATAAGGCATCTTTTCGTCTAAAAGTATTCATCTGAATATCACGAAAGAGGAGATGCGATGTGATTGCTATTTTCGCAGTTTACTGTAAATGAGTGTCTACGACCAAGGAGTCTTTAGAATTTTTTTAAATCCTCAATGAGATTTTGAGAATGATTTAGAATTTAAATAGGGCTTAATTATTTTTTTTTTATTCATCCGAAAAATAATTATTTATATATATTATATATTTCGAATATCATTACATCTCTAAATACATCTTTAAAAAAAAATGATCTTTAATCTTTTTCATCTTTTAAATTCTTATTTCCACTGATTGGTATATGTAAAAAGAATGGTTAGGATCTAAATCTTGTAAAAAGAAGAAAAAATAAATAATAAAAGTTGTTCTAATTAATATTATAATCACTATTAATAAATCTTTATTCTTCCCATAATCATAATTACAATCAGTAAGTTAAAAAGGTATATAAACAAAATTTAAAAAAAGTGAATAACTAATTTAAGAAGTATACAAAAATTTGCTTTCTTTCTTTTCTTTCTTTATATCTTTTATATTTTTGTATATTCGGGTGAATTGCTATTGCAGGATGAGGATTAAATATATTTTTTAAAAAAAAATTTTTCGCCAAAATAGAAAAAGTTCTAAAAATGGGCAAAAGGGAAAAAATGGAAGCCACTAATTTAGTAAATATTCCTCAATTAGCTTTTTTCCTAAACATTTATACAGGAAACCGAGCATGTACGCCTCACTCTAAGACTATAAGATAAATATAAACTCCTAAGATCTATATCTCTTTCATAGTTCAAACAGTCAATCCTAAATATAAAGATGACAAATTCCCTAATTTACTCCATATCAGAGGTAAGGTGGCATTATGACATGGGGTGAAATGGTCAATAACAATTTTTATATATACATATAATCAATTTTATTGCTCTCAATATAACAAAATTTATGCATATATATATATATATATTAATTAAAAAAATAATAATCGTAATTTATACGCCAATAAAAATAAAAGGATATATATAAAGTATATAAAATTTATTTGGCGCGGAATACAGAACATCTGATCCGCTCTTCTCCCGGCTTGCTCATTTCAAAATCCTGCCTTCTCTCGCCATTTTTTTTATACCCAATTTGAAGATTTAGATGTGTGCTAGAGCTCGTATTCTCATATTCACATATTTACATATTCTAGATTTATATTTTATCAAATGAATCATTATTTTATTTTAACAATCATAATTTTTTTAAAAACTGAAATTCCTAAAATATATCAAATCCGTGGGATAAGATTTAGTTAAAAGTGTGCCCAAATAAATATTTTATGATTTCAAAATGATTTCAAAATGATTTTAAAAAATTTTAAAAAATTTTAAAATAAATCGAATTTTCACAATATAGATTTAGTCAGCTAATGAAGTTTAACGGTCGGTTTTTTCACAAACCGCAGTTTTTGCGGGAGGTGATGGGGGTTTGTCCACGGTTCGGTTTGGTTTCGAAATCGGTTTGCGATTTGAACCCGATAGAAAAATGATATATTATATATTTTTTAGAAAATATCAGGAAGTTTTGAAGTCTATCAAAGTATTATTTATATAGAAAATGAAGGTCTTACGTTTCTGTTCACAGATTATCAGAGTTGTTAAAGGATCTTAGATATAAAAATATGGTATCTGTATCTGTATCTAGATTTTTGACTAAAGCATCGGTATCTAGGTACTATTTTTAGACGGTGTATCTGTATCTACATTTAAAAAGTATCTTTTAACAACTCTGCAAATTATAAATGTATAATCTTACTAAATATTAGTTGCTATTAACGACGTTATACTATAATGTAAGTTAATGATAAAATATTTAAAATGTTAAATTTTTGTAAGATTCAAATGGTTAAAATCATTTTTAAGATCTTACTTGGCAAAGGCGATGCTTTCATTGTAACAAAAAAAAATTAAGTCTATATATCAATGGGTATAATAGATGAAATTATTTATTATGAACTATGGAAACTAATATATCTTTATTCTACATGCAATAGAGCATAACTAAAAATTAATAATTACCGTGATTTATCTTGTAATATTTTATTATTAAAAATCGTTCTTTATCTATAAATTTAACTCATATATAAACAATTGCTTAAAAAATTAGATTATCACACGCTACAATTTAACTATTATAATAAGATAATTAAAATAGAGAAATATTATATTTTAAATTATTAAATGTAAACGGTAGGGTGATTAGACCAGCCGGATGCTGGGCATAATAGGTCCAAATGACCGCCAAATGGACAATAATATCCCATATAAACCACTCTTAACAATGTCACGACTACCCGCGTGGCTTGGATTTTAACGTGATTATTGATATACGACAATTTTAAATAATTTGTATTTATAACAATAACATTTACACACTATGATTCTTACAACTGAAATAACATTGCCGAAGTTGTTGTTATTGTTTAAACGATAGACAGAGTCACGTGACATTTCATGTGTATACGGAATTAGAAAAAAATGGGAATGATCCTATTCCCTACCTGTAATTGTCGTGATTTTGAATAATTAACAGATTCTTCCATACCTAGGATAAAAGAAGTCATCGTACACTCTCAATTCGTGAGGACATTTTATGAATTTGCCCATCCTCTTTCTTATGATCCTTTTGATCAATCTGACGTTGCATTTACTGAATTTAAAGTTATCGAACCTATTTGATTCCCTAGAGCGAGAGTTCATCAATAATATGGTACTCGAAATGCATGCAGTGTCTTCCTCGTGCTCGGCTCCGAAAGTGTGGCCTACTTCGTGGGCTAATATGCTGAGGATCGAACCTCTCGTTCTGACTCCTCCCTTTTTATACAGGAAAAAATTAACGTACGCCACATTCTGGTTTTCATTTGCGGGCCTTTTACTACTTTTATCCATAAATATTCCGGTCTCGTCGGCACCAATCCAAGCCTGTCCCTGAATACCTCTAAAATTTTGAAACGTGAAGCTGATACCTAAACATCTATTGTCTCCCAAGCCCATAGATGATATCAGTGCCATATATTTGTTAGCTAAGGGGTATACATTTTGCTGAGTCACGGGATCGTTTTTCTTTATAACCACCGTTATTTTCGCTATTTGGAATCCAAAATGATTTGGTTGCTTGATACCGGCAAAATCAACAATTCGGTACAGAAAGTCTAACGCTCCGTAAAGTATAATAGTTTCATGTATGGCTTCTCTGATATCGTAATGATACACCTTTTCCATCAAATAAGAATCTAACAATACGTTAACGCCGCACACCTTTTTATTGTTAGAATACCATTCGCGAGAGTTTCCTTGGTTATTGATCGCCTCCGCTTTTACATCCAATTGTCGTCTCCATACTCTACTCAACCCCGATTTATCGCGAACTGATGGTACTCCTAGAGTATCGTTAATACGGTACCACGGTTCTATGTCATCTTCCGTGTAATACATGTATTTTTTTTCCTTTACCCATTTCCTCATCCCCCATTTGTCGGATAACGCGCTCTTTCCCAACAAATCTGAGGTTAAATTTTTCCAAACTTGTATTCCTTCCACAAAATGCAATTTGCCACTCTCGTATATTATCCCGTCAAAAAGGGTAGCCATATTTGTTAAATCTATACTGCCAAAAGCAAAGGATCGTTCCCGATTCTTAATCCTGGCAACGTAGTAATGATACTTGAGATACCTTTTTAAATACGAATTTTGGTATTGATAAGAATCCGACACTATATCCACCGTAGTATTCTCTTCCACTATATCAGTTGAAGAAATCAATACAAGTGTAAAGGGTATATTAAGAGGAGTCACTTCAGTTACCTTTTGGTTAAATATGGGACGCTCTGGACATGCACCTTTAAATGATTGAAGTGATTCAACTAGTCGTAATATGCAGCCTAAGAATGCCTTTAACACTTGCTGTTTAAGCTTCATTTCGATTACTAGTTTCTATAAATATGGATATCACAATACAAAGGAGTTGTTCTATTATTTATTATAGGTTCTAAATCGATTTTTAAAATTATTTTTTGTTTGTAATACGTGATGATGTATGTGGTTATATAGACCTTACAAATATGGCTACCCTTTTTGATGGAAATAATATAAGTGAGAAGGGGGGGGGGGAGGACAAATTACATTTTATGGAAAAAAAAACAAGTTTGCTAAAATGTAACCGTAAATAGGGTGGGAAAAGAGTCTTGGGGAATGGTTTGAGGAGACTTAATTAGAGATGCGCTTCCGGTCGTAAAATGGCGGGGGTCACGGCATAACTCTAATAATTATTAATTTTGGAATAATCGGACCGTGAATTGTGAGCGGGTCCAAAAATTTTTAATTCGAATCTTAACGGGAAGGAAGTGAATATTTTTTTTTTTTCAAAATCACGATTCACAAGATTTTTCGTTAAAATTTTGATGTAAAAATTTTTCTGTAATTTTTTTTTTACAAAATAAATAAAATATTTTGGGTATTTTATTCATTCATTCATTCATTCATTTATTCATCACGTTTGTTAAGGACCCGTCATGAAGAGAGAGAACGCACTTAAATTATGCCAGTTTTGGGGCAAGGATAAGATGATGGAATAACATGATTTTTATTAGTTACCCTTAAAAATAACTAGTTGTGTAAAAGTAATGTCTAATCCTTGCGAAAAATAATTATATTATGAAGGGTTTGACAGTGTGAATGATTGTTTCCCCCCATTCATTCATCTTTGTGAGTAAGCTGCTTAGGCCCAGAATAAAATTGTTAACGAGAACTTCATCATCAGAAATGCGTGTAATAAGCAGATGACGATATTGAAACCCTTGTGTCACTAAGTGGAGGGAGGGGGGTGGCAAATAACTTAGTACAAATAATGTATACTATAAGTATCGATAATCAATCTTTATTGTAATGGTAATATAAGTATGTATTTAGTATGTAAAATAATGTCTTTGTAACTACCTTTCATTTGATACCCATATCAAATTTTTATTTTTAATGTACCCATATCGGTATTTTGTGCTGATTAAAATATTATTGACCCTAGTCCCAGACTCACCCATTAATGGGGAGATTTTAACCCCACTGTTTGATAGATTTTCTGATTTGCTATCGAATCTATTGATAACTCTACCAGATGTAATTACTTTCATAATGGCCATTAAAAAGACAATTTAAAAATAAATAAATAACAATAAAACTTGAAGACATAACCCTAAGATACTGATACGAATTAATATTTCCAAATGAATATAAAAATATGAAAACTTCCCTAAAATTGAACGAACGTAAAAAACGAACGCTTTCGTCGAAAAATAACAGCGAACTCAGTTCACGAGAGCGTTCTATCGGTTCGAACATTATGTTTTTCTTAAATTATTATAATTATTATTTTTTGTTATATAGCTTCATGTAAGTGTTGTTTTAAAAGGGTCGATTTTGAGCCAATTTTATTTATAAATACTGCTAACTCAAAAGTATATCCAGAGAAAAAAATATTAAGACAAGCCTGATAGATTTTGCTCATAGTTGGCTTGGCTGGCACAAAGGTTCGGCAACTATTAGCGAAATTCCATGGATTGGGTAATATTTTTCTTCAAAATATTTGAGACATCCACTAGCTTTATGCAATGTTATTTTAGTTTTAGTTTCGAACCAACTATTAGCGAAATTCCATGGATTGGGTAATATTCTTCTGGTCAAAATATTTGAGACATCACTAGCTTTATGCAATGTTATTTTAGTTTTAGTTTCGAAAACTATTAGCGAAATTCCATGGCTTGGGTAATATTTTTCTGGTCAAAATATTTGAGACATCACTAGCTTTATGCAATGTTATTTTAGTTTTAGGTTCGAACCAACTATTAGCGAAATTCCATGGATTGGGTAATATTTTTCTGGTTAAAATATTTGAGACATCACTAGCTTTATGCAATGTTATTTTAGTTTTATGAAACTTTACACGTTTGGACGTTATCACTCTCTTTTATTTATCTTACTTGTCACGATACATGTTAACGGTATAAAATTTGAAAAATCACCTTTGTTATCGGATTCATTCATTCATTCGTTCATTATTTATTTCTTTTTTTGGCGCCTATTTTTGTGAGCGTAAGGGTAAAATTTATTCCCCTTAACTTTTGTAAGCCAATATAGATCCACAAAACAATCGGTATTTTATTGGTTTGTATCCTTAAACTACGTCTCTAACAAGTGATTAAAATCGCTCTGTACTATTCTCAAAAGTTTTCTAAAAAAAACATTCATGTAAAAGCAGAGACCTGCAGAGGTACCATTAGCATGGCCCGACACGGATTTTTTTCAAAAATATTTTTGGCCCGGCTCAGAATTTTTTAAAAATGTATTATATTTATTTTTGATTTTTATAGCTATTAATGTCGATTCCAAATATTTGGTTTATAAATATACGGCCCATTTTTTTTTAAAAAAATTTCAAGCCCTGCCCGTGTTTAAAAACGGGCCGGACTTAGAGCCGGAACTGGAGGTCTCAGGTTAGGATGGCAAGCCCTCGGAATAAGATGCTTAAAAATAAAATGTACCGTACAACACAATTTATTTTAATATTTTAATTTTATTTTTAATAATATTTGTATAATTTAAACAAATTATGAATATTTTTAAAAAAAATTAGTAAAACATAAAATAGATCGTTATTGGAAGAAAGAATATGCCAATTTAAATTAATTTATGCGTTACATAAAATCTTCGCACTTTATATAAAATAATAAATAAATATTGGAACCATAGCTGGCAAATTATTAACATCTACATATTTTATAAATTAATATATTGAGAGATAGAAATATTCTTTTGGAATTTCAAGTGATGACTGATATTTGTTTCATCATTATTTCTTTCTTAAATAAAGCTATCTAACCGACGCTATCAGTATCAGGTATAGGGGCCGCGTAGGCTAAATATAGTTATGTGTGTAGGGGATTACTTAAAGTTTCCGTTTTCTGTGGGTAAAAGAGAGTTACGTTTGTACATGGAATTAGGATATACAGTGAACTTTTAATCATATAATAGACCAATAAAAAATTTTTATACAGTGAATATCTAAATAAATCTTCAATAATACTAAAAAGTATATAAAAAAAGGTATTTTCAAAGTCAGTTAGGATAGAAGTCCAATTATAATGGTATATTAAAATTTGGTCTAGCTATTGGGAGGGGGGGCAAAGAGATTTGATTTGGTTTAAGTACATTACAAATCCAACATTGCTAATTTAAAATAGAATACATTGCCAATTTATAATAATGTCAGAAGTCAAGGTATTAAACATTTATTGCTAAATCAATCCAACTGAAATTAGTGATTAATTAAATCTATTATAAGTGCTTTTACTTTTTGTGATAATTTAAAAAATTTTCAAAATAGAAGATCGAGGATGTGCCATTTATATCATATGTTTTTAGCCCCCAGAGCCTACCATACAATTAAGTTACAAATATAAAGCTAGAAGCTATCGGGTTAGAAGAGACCGGGAAAAATGATTTAGCAAACCTCCAAAATAAAATTAAACATTTAAGCCACTTTTAATAAAAATTTAGTGGAGTTAAAAGTTCCTGAGGTCATCATAAAAAAAATACCAATTATTTTTGGAACCCCATAATTTAAAAATTAGCCCAATAAAATCAATAACGCCTCTGGCTACAGCTAATAATTTAAATTTTTCGATCATTTTATACTTAAAAAAAAATATATATAAACACTATAAACATTTTGATTTACAAAAAAAGGCATTTTTTAAATGGACATACGTCGAATCATATCTATATTATTAAAGATCCATATATTGTTCAAGTAATAAAAAAACTTTTAAATTAAAATTATAATTAAAACTTATTAACTTTAATTTATAGAAATAATAATAATTTTTATTATATAAACAATTTATCTAAAATAATGTAGAGCAATTAAATATATATATAAAATAATATAGAGTAATTAAATATATATAATAAAATTTAATAGACTAATGATACAAATAATATATGAAAGATATAGTTTAAAAAGTATAAACAAACTGAAATAAAAAATAAATATTGAATTAAAAGGCTTTAAATTTATATAAATATTCAAATTTACTATCCGAGTTTTTTTTTAAAAAAAACATTTTTCGTCTTGTTTGTAAAATCGATTATTTATTTATTTTTTTTGAAAAAAAATAATTGTTTACACCATATTTTCTTTTTTCTCTCTTTTTTTTTGATAAAAAATAATTATAAAAAAAAAACTTATCCTCCATTTTGAATTTTCTTTATTTTTTTACCATTTTTTTTTATCGAAATAAAATTTATAAAAAAACTCTTTTTATATCCTTTTTTTTTACCAAAAATAAAAAAAAAAAACTATTTATATTAAAAAAAAATAAAAGGGGTTTTTTTTTATATTCTAAAAAAAAAGAGAAAAAAGCGAAATAAAAAAGAAGAAAAGAAATTTAAACAAAATGAATAGACGAAACCTCGAATTACAAAAAATGACGACAATTCTCGCGGGCAAATAAATCCATGGTTACCGACAATTCCTTCTCTTAATTCCGCAAAATAAAATTCGCTTCCAACTATCTTCGAACCCAAATATCACGTAAAAAAAATTACATTTTTCAAATTTTTATTTATTTTTTTATTTTCCTTGCGCACAAAAAAAAAGTAGAAAATTTTTTTTTTTATAATTTTCGTAAATAAAAAAAAGATAGAAATAATTTTTTTTTTTTTGAATTGAATTCATTGAGTTTTTTTTTTGAAGAAAAAAAAATATACTTAACTGTTTGCGTAAGACATCATATGATTTTTTTTGAACAATAACCTGTCTAAATTGAGCCAAATTAAGAAGTGAGCTCTTGATTAAATAAATATTTAAAATAAATCAAAACTCATATTTTTAATGTCAACGCAGACATATTTAGCCTAAAAATTGA